GACACAGAATAAGTTGGAAAAGCCCCCTAAGATCACCCAGTCCAGCTTCCCTCAGCACTGCCAATGCCACCACGGGCCCTGTCCCCAAGTGCCACATCCACACGGGTTTCAGTCCCTGCAGGGATGGGGTCTCCACCACCTGTGCCAGGGCTGCACAACCCTTCCCATGAAGCTTTTCCTGATATCCAACCTCAACCTCCACTTGGGAGGGTGTCTCCCATTGTCCCATCGTTGTCACCTGGGACAAGAGCCCAGCAGGATTTGGGCAGCTCCTGGGCTCACCTGCTCCACGGCAGGGTGGGGTCCAGCCTGTCCCCAGCTTTTGTCCCCAGGGTGGGAGCCCCGGGCCCACAGGGCAGGGAACTCCTGACACCTCTATGATCCCGGGCGAGAGCCACAATTAGAGCTGGAATAAAAAGCTCAATATTCCTGGGACCAGGGGCTGCTGGAGGCAGCTCCCTCCCTGCCAGGCCAGCCGGTGCTCCAGGGGAACAGGTACCTGGTGCTGGAGTTTTTGTGGGATGAGGAACATCTGGAGCTCGGCGGCACAAGGCAGCCTTTGTGCAGCTGGGAAAGGCCGTGCCAGAAACCAGCACTTGTTTGGGACAGCTTCGGGGAGAGGGGGAGGAAAAGGGAAAAAGAGCAGAGGGAAGCCACCCCCACCGGGGAAGGAACCTCAGCCTCCCCTCGGGCAGTTCCCACCTCCCCCGCGGGGTTCTGTGCATCCCCTTCCCCATGGGAACCCCTCCCTAGGCAGCACCGTGGAGATGGGCCTGGCTGGATTAAATCATCCCAATCAAATAATTTTGGATTCTATTTGACTCTGGAAGGGGCATCATCCCCTCCTGGCTGGCAGCATTCCGGCTGCAGGGATGTTTCCCGCTGGGATTATCAGATATCCTGATCAAATGGTAATTCAAAGGGCTCCAAGGGTTGGTATCCCGAAGGAATGTCCCAGGCAGAGCTGCCGGGCACCGGGAGCTTGGGAAAAACGGAGCTGAGGATTCCCGTGCCCGTGGAGGCTCCCTGGAAACGGGCATTCGGGAATTTCACACCTCTCCGGAGCCACGGCAGCTCGGGATACCCCACGCAGGTTTTTTTTGGGGGGGGAGAGGTGGCTCTGGTCACCTTCTCAGAGGGAAAACCATCTCCAATGAAACTGGAATGTTGCTCTGGAGCCTGGCGGGAGCGGTGGCAGAGGCTGTGGATTGGGAATTCTCCATCAGAGAACTGGAGCGCACTGGGGAGGACTGGGAGCTCTCCCCGGGGACAGGGACCTCATCCCAGCCCATCCCTGCTCCATCTCTGGACGCTCCATGGATCAAAAAAAGAGCTGGAGCTGCTGCTGGCTGCGCCAGGGGAGGAAAAATCCCCAAAATCCCCCAAAAATCCCCCCAAATCCCTTTGTCTCTTCCACCCACCAGAGCTGCAGAGCAATTACCGAGCCCCCGGGAGTTTCACAGCAATCACAGGGGCCTCCTCCTGCTAACATTTAATTTGTTTAATGACTCAGGAGGCCCCGGGGGGCTCCTCCGTGTCAGCATTCATCTCCCTGCTCTCCAAAGGATTTTCTCTCCACCCAAAACTGGGGGGATTTGGTGAAATCCTCACTAAGGCAAGATTTAGGAAATCTCCCCCAAATTCCCGGGGCTCTCTGACCTCCAGGGACACACCAGCAATGCTGGATTCAGGGAAGGGACCTGCAGATCCTCCTGGATTTTTGTCCATCCACCAGCAGAGATGAGCTGGGATAAATTACGGCCAGGAAAAGGAAAGGAAAAAGCCAAATATGCTGTGAGATGTGATTGGAGTTTGAAATCCAACCTCACTCCTGCCCCTGCTGCCAGCCTGGCCTGACACAGCGGGCTGGGAGGAACTGGCATGCTCCAGCCTTCACTGGAGTCTAAACCTTGGGAAAGAAACGGGAAGGAAAGGTTGGGAATGCTGCTGGTGTGTCCTGCACAGAGCTGGGGGAGCAGCACTGGGGATTGGGAATGGCAGGATGGGGGAATTCCATGGGATTGGGAATGGTGGGATTTGGGTTCCATGGGATTGGGAATGGCGGGATGGGGGGGTTTCCATGGGATTGGGAATGGTGGGATTGGGAATGGTGGGATTGGGAATGGCGGGATGGGGGGGTTCCATGGGATTTGAAATGGTGGGATTGGGAATGGTGGGATTGGGAATGGCGGGATGGGGGTTCCATGGCATTGGGAATGGCAGGATGGGGGAATTCCATGGGATTGGGAATGGTGGGATTTGGGTTCCATGGGATTGGGAATGGCAGGATGGGGGGTTCCATGGGATTGGGGTCCTGGAGGAGATGGGGGGTTCAATAGGACTGGGATCATGGAGGAGATGGGGTGCCCAGCGCAGGCTGATATCCCAGAGGAGTTGGGATCCTGGAGGAAATGGAGTCCTGGTAGAGGTGGGATCCTGGAGGAGAGGGGATCTTGGAGGAGATGAGAGTTCCAGTGAAGCTGGGATCCTGGTGGAGGTGAAGGTCCTGGGGGAACTGGGGATCCCAGTGAAGTTGGGATCCTGGAAGAGAAGGGGGCTCTGATGGAGGTTGGGGGTCCCTGGAGGAGCTGGGGGTCCCCGGGCCGCCCGGGCTGCGGGACATCCCCACCCCAGCCGTTACCAGCACCTCCCTCCATTGTTTCCCAACCCGTGTTTTTCCCCATGACCTCATCTTCCCTTGGCTCCCGCTGGCGATTTTATGGCAGGGAAATGATTCTGCAGCCAAAGGAGAGCAGATCCAGGGTTCTCTTCCCCCCACCCCGTTTCCAGCCGGGTTTGTTTCTGCTCCAGGCACAGCAGAGGGATCGTGTGAGACGAGCAGGGAGCTCCGGTCAGGAACGTTCCCCTTGTTCCTGTAGGAACACGAGAGGCACCAGCCAGAGGTTGAAACAACTCCCCCCCAGGAACCAGCCCTGGACACAAAAGCTTTTCAGTTATCATCAGCATTTTGTAAGATTATATTAAAATAAACCTTCAGGCTCCATTTCCTGCTCTGGAGATCTCCCTGGTAGGATTATGAGGCACAAAAAACACGTCCCAGAAATCTCAACCAAGGCCATACCAGGAATGTTTTCCCCCCGTTCTCACACAAACCTGCATGCTGTAAAAGCCTCAAAACAAGAAATGAGGCACTAACATGGAAGCTGGGCCAGCTGCAGATCCCATGGGGGGGATTTTCCCTCTTTTCCCATTAGGAAGAACCCCGTGGGTTGAAGAAGTGAAGTTGGAATCCTTCCGGGACCGATGGGATTTCACCTTTCCCACCTCACACAACTCCTAAGGAAGCACATGGAGAACATCCCCCTGAGGTGGCACAGTGAAAATGAAGGATTTTAGGTAAAAAAAAAAAACAGGAGAAAGGGAAGCAGGAGCTCATCCATGAGCTGCAGTCCCAGGAATCCAGCACAGACACGAGCACGGAGCTGTTCAAGGGCTGGTTGACCATGCAAGACTAAACAAACCTACTGAGGGAGAGGCAGTAAATACCTGAAAAATAACTGGAACTAAATTAAAACTTTGGATTGTTCAGCCTGGAAAAGAGAAGAGTCTGGAGGGACCTCAGAGCCCCTTGCAGGGCCTAAAGGGGCTCCAGGAGAGCTGGAGAAGGACTGGGGACAAGGGATGGAGGGACAGGACACAGGGAATGGCTTTAAACTGCCAGAGGGCAGGGCTGGGTGGGAGATTGGGAAGGAATTCCTGGCTGGGCTGGAATTGCCAGAGCAGCTGTGGCTGCCCCTGGATCCCTGGAAGTGCCCAAGGCCAGGCTGGACAGGGCTGGGAGCACCTGGGACAGTGGGAGGTGTCCCTGCCCACGGGATGGTGGCACCAGATGGGATTTAAGGTCCCTCAACCCAACCTATTCCAGGATTCTCCAAAATCTCCTCTCCAAACTCAACAACCCCCGACACAACACCTGCCCTGGGAAAAGGACCCCGTGAGCCGAAATCCCTGTGTTCCCTGCTCTGCCCAGGCCGGGCCGGGCAGGAGGAAGCTCCGGGCTGGCTTTGGGGCACAGGAGGCTGGCAGGGGAGCACGGCTTTAATTGCGGCGCGGCTGCCAAGCCCAACAAAGCCGCGCACGAAGAATGGGAGTCATTTATTCTGTCTGCAGGTCCGGGTTGCTGCCGTGCCTCGGGAGGGGCGGGAGGTGAAATCCATCCCTTTCCAGGCAGTGACTCAGGTGCCGCGATCCGCCCCGGGCGCGCATCTCGCACGGCGAGCGGCTCCAGCCGCGCTCGCCGCGGGCTCATAATGGGATTATTGTTCCTTTGCGTGCAAAGCCTCGCTCGGGCTCGGTGTCCCCGCCCTGCCCTGCAAACCGCAGCCGCCCGCGCCCTGCCAGCCCCCGGCTCGGCACGGGCCGCCCGGCACAGCCCGCTCGGGGCTGGCAGCGCCCGGAGCCGCCCTGCGCCCCGGGCAGCGCCGGGAGCCGGGAACAGCCGGCAGGGACCCCGGGACAGCCAGACCCGCGGGACTGTCACCGGGATGGCAGACCCGCGGGAATGTCACCGGG